TTAAAAATAAAAATAAAATAATTCAAAACAAAATGAAAATATACTAATCAAACATCCCAGTCCTCAAAAAAACTGATCCATTAAAAATAACTGGCTTCAAAAATGCTATAAATGAGAAAAAAAATATGAGTATCTATAACTGTCCATGTACCATTAAGGTCACAAACAGAGAAAAGGGGTGGGGGAAGGAAAAAAGAAAAAAGTAAAAACAAACAAACAAACAAAAACAAAAAAACAAGAGAGAGAGAAATCTCAATAAGCCAAAGAACTGTTTCCATTGGAGTTCAAAAGATTCTCAGTTTCTCTTCTGAGCAGTTTTAGGTGGGGTCATCTGGAGTGTGATACTCCACCTTCTGGATTACTGGAGTGAGAGAGGTAATCCTGTAGGTGGAATTCCTGGAGGTGGGGTTTAGCCTTAGGTGGGCTCCAGGGTCTTCACTGAATGCCAGTTGGTCTGCAGATTTTAAATTAGCACACCTCCAGGGCCCAGTTATTATTGGTCCATGCTGGAAGACTGGGTTCCATTTATGTGGTGGAGGAGCCAATTCTTAGTCCCCTATGTTACCTGTGCCTCCCCAACCCCACCCATGTTTCCTGGTCTTAGGTTTAGTCTCCAAACTCAATCTCTCTCACCCCAATCCTTCTGAATTAAATTCCCAGCAGATGTATCTCTCCCAGCCAGTCCTGCAGCCAGCAGGTTGGAGAGGGAGGTGTAGAGACCTGTGGGTTTCCATGACAAGCTGACCCTGTGTAAACCTCTCTCCATGTTTGATTTTCTCCTGGTCACTGAAGCACACTCCATGTCATGTAGTATGTGTTTACTGGGCCTGTGTTTTGGGGTAAACTCAGTTTTCCCAGGGATTGACTTCCTCAGTTACCTGCTCTGTGGCTGCAAAATGGTTCCTTCTTTTGTCTTCTGCACTCCACCTGGAAAGATGGCGGCTTCTTTCTGGCACAAGGATATTGTGCAATGTGCCTTCCCAGTTTGTTGGGCAATGTCCTTGATCTCTAAATTGTCTGGACCCAGACATGCCTCAGGCCACCTAAAAATGTGGGTTCCTTTAATTTCTTTATCCTTCCATTTTGCTCCCAGAGGGACCACTTTGGCTGGTGCTTCTGGCCTGACTTCGGCAGCAACTGCTGTGCTGGGGATTTCTCTCTTATTATATCTAACCTCCTGTGTCCTAATCTGCTTCGAATGTCCAGTTTTAAATTCCAGTAAAGTCCTCCCCCACTTTTTTTTTTCTTTTGTTCACCCACCTTCTGAGAAACTGCCTAGTCTGCTTTCTTGGTTTTAGCCCATGGAACAGTCGGGAAAGCCTGCAGTTTTTGTTACTACAGCTCTGTGGTATAATTTGAAATCAGGTATTGTGATATCTTCAGCATTGCTCTTTTAGCTTAGAATTGCTATTCTGTTTTGTTTTTGATTTTTAATTCTTCCAAATGCATTTTTAAGACTTTTTTTTCCTAGTTCTGTGAAGAATGTCTTTGGTATTTTAATGGGAATTGCATTGAATCTTTATATTGCTTTTGATAGTATGGCCATTTTAACAATACTGCCTATCCATGAACATGGGAGGTCTTTCCATCTCCCTTGTATTCTTCAATTTCTTTCTTCAAAGTTCTATAGATTTCATTTTAGAGGTGTTTTACCTCCTTGGTTAGATTTATTTCTAGGTTTTTTTTTTCCCCCATAGGGGAGACTATTGTGAATGGGGTTGTTTTCCTGGTTTATTTCTCTGCAGATTCATTATTGGTGTGTAGGAAAGCTTTAATTTTTTATGTTGATTTTGTAGCCTGCTACTTTGTTGAATTTTTTTTATTAGCTCTAGCAGTCACCTGGTGGAGTTTCTTGGGTCTTCAAAGTATAGGATCATATTATCTGCAAACAGTGATAATTTGACTTCTTCCCATCCGATTTTTATGGCTTTTATTTCCTTCTCTTGCCTAATTGCTCTGCTAAAAATTTGAGTATTATATTAAATAGGAGTGATGAGAGTGAACATTTTCATCCTGTTTGTACCTGATTTTAAAGGAAAATCTTTCAGCTTTCCCCATTCACTATGATGCTGGCTTTGGGATTTGGGTATATAGCCTTTATGATGTTGAGGTAGGTTTATTCTATTCCTGTTTTCTCCCGTGTTTTTTTAAAAATCATGAATGGGTGATTAATTTTGTCAAGGGCTAATAACTCTGCATCTATTCAAATGACTTTGTGATTTTTGTCCTTAAGTCTATTTATGTGGTAAATTACATTTATTGATTTGCATATGTTTAACTGTCCTTGCATCCCTAGGATAAAGCCTACTTGGTCATGATGTAAAATCTTCTTAATATGTTGTTGAATACAATTTGCTAGCATTTTGTTAAAAATTTTTGCATCTACATTCATCAGGGATATTGGTCTTTCCTTGATATCTGGTTTTGGTATGATGGTGTTACTGACTTCATAGAATGCATCTGGGAGTGTTCAATCCCTTTTTATTTCATGGAATAATTCAACGAGCACTGACATTAGTTCCTCTTTAAATGCCTGATAGAAGTCAGGTGAGAATCCATCTGGTCCTGGGCTTTCCTTTGTTGAAAAGCTTTTTATTACTACTTATATTTTCATTGCTAGTTATTAGTCTATTTAGGTTTTCTATGTCTTCTTGATTCAATTTTGGCCGACATATGTGTCTAAAAACAAAGCCATTTATTCTAGATTTTCCAATTTACTAGAGTATGAGTTTTCAAATTAGTCCCTAATTATCCTATGGATTTCTTTGATGTCTGGTTATTTCTCCATTTTTCACCTCTAATTTTATTAATTTGTATTTGGCTGAGAGTTTATCAATCTTGTTTATCTTTTCAAAGAAGCAACTCTTCATTCCATTTATCCTATATATTTTTTTATTTTAAATTCCATTGACTTTGGCTTTGATCTTAATTATTTCCTTTCTTCTACTGGTTTTGGAATTGGTTTGTTCTTGCTTTTCAGGTACCTAGAGATATATTCTTGGTTGTTTTTTGGAGGTCTGATTTTCTTATGCAGGCACTTGTAACTACAAACTTTCCTCTTAGATCTACCTTCTAGTGTTTCCCAGAGGTTCTGGTATGACATGTCACTATTCTCATTTGGTTCTAAGATTTTTAAAAATTTCTCCATGTTTTTCTTCTATCATCCATTCATCATTCAAAATTTATTATTTAATCTCCATGGGTTTATATAGTTTCTTTAGGTTTATTAGTGTCAATATGTAAGTTTATTTTATTATGATTAGATAAGGTGGAAAGGATTATGTTAAATTTTTGTATTTTCTAAGATTCCCATTGTGACCCAAAATATGGTCTATTTTTGATAAGGTTTCATGAGTAAATTGATCAGCTGTTGTTGGATCAAATTCTATAGATGTCTGTTAAGTCCATCTGATTTCTAATAATTTTTAGGTCCAAAGAGTATTTCCTGAGTTTAATGTCTGGGTGGCCTATCTATTGGTGAAGGGAATATGTTGAAATCACCCAATATTATTGTACTGGAGTTTATCTGAGACTTTAATTCAAGCATTGTCTCTTTTATGTAACTATGTTCAACAACATTTGGGGCCTACATATTTACTTACGTTATGTCTTCTTCTTGGACTGTTCCCTTTACCAGTATGAAGTGAACTTATTTGTCTCTTATTAATTTTGGCTTTCAGACTTTGTTGAATATGAGAGTACTCCTGCTTGTTTTAGGGCTCCATTTGCAGGGTATATCCATTTCCATTCTTTCACTGTCAGCCTGTGGCTCTTTCCCTGTAAGGTGAGTCTCTTTCAAACAACATATAGTTGGATCTTGTGTTTTAACCCATTCTGTCAGTCTGTGTCTTTTAATTGGAGAGTTGAGACCACTTATATTCAATGTTATTACAAACAGATTTTTATTAATTCCTGCCATTTATATTTATTTCTAATGTTTAATATGGTCCTGTTCCTCATTTGTTTAGCTACTCTTTAAATAATATTTGTCCATTTGTGTGCTTTGGGGTTCATTTTTGATGTCTTCTTTGCCAAGTACTTATTTTCTGTGGTGTCAGCTTAGTAGTCATGAATTAATTTGTTTTCTGCTTATCACAGAAGACTTTTATTTCTTATTTGATTCTGAAGGACAGCTTTGCTGGATATAGCAATCTTGGTTGACAGTTATTTTCTTTCACAGCTTGGAACATATCATTCTAAGCCCTCCTGAATTTTAGATTTTGTGCTGAGAAATCAGAAGTAACTGACTGGTTTGCCTCTAAATGTGACCCAAGGTTTTTCTCTTGAGCTTTCAATATTCTATCGTTGTTCTGTATGTTGGGCATTTTAATTATAATGTGTCATTTTAATTATAATGTGTTCTTTTTTTGAGGTTCCTGTCTTTTGGAGTTCTGAATGAACCCTGTATCTGGATGTCCATTTGATTTTCAAGGTTTAGAAAAATTGTGTATTATTATTGCCCTAAAAAGGGTCATGCTATTAGGACATATTACATAGTCTTCTTCAATACCAGTGGTTCTTAACCATGGTCTCTTAATGTTGTCCCAGAGTTCTTATATTCTCTGGCCATAGTTACTTCTTTTCTTTTCTTCATATTGTCTGAATGTTCAAGGCCAACCACTTTGTCTTCCAGTTCTGAGATGTTGTCTTCAGTATGCCTACTCTATTAAATAAAGACTCTCAACTATTTATTTATTTATATCTCTATCTTCTTATTGAATTTCTTATTCATATCCTGAACTGGCCTCCTTAATTTATTTAGCTATTTTTCGGTGTTCTCTTGGAACTTATTGATCATTTTTATAATCATTCTTCTGAATTCTTTATCTGATATTTCATCCACTTTAATATCTTCAGAGTTGTTGCTGGTGAATTACAAATTTTAGGAGGCATCATGTTACCTTTTTTCCCCCATATTTTTTGTATTCCTGTGATTTCCCCTCCAAAAAAAAAAAAACTATCAGCAAAATTCAGCTTTTTATTGTACATGTTATAAGAGTTTAGTCAAAAAGACCAAATCCCATGTAATCATTGGGCTCCTCAGATTCTTCCTTCTTTGCTTGCATTTTCTTCTCCTCAGCTGAGGAAGCTGTGGTGATGGGGACAGGACCTCCTGCTGTTGCCACACCAGCTGTTGGAGCAGGCCCACCAGCACCTGTGTTGCAAATGAGGCTCCCAGTGTTAACATTGGCCAAGGCCTTTGCAAAAAAATCAAGCCAAAAAGTTCATCATTTACACCAGGTTTTAAAATGAGGGCATTGATTTTATCCTCCATGATGGTCACCTTGTTGTCATGCTGGATGAGGACAGAGTATAAACAGGACAGGCCAGATACAGAGGCCATGTCATGGACTGCTTTACTGGATGAAGTGAGGGCCTCACCCCAACATGGCCTTAGCTTCCTCAGAAGGACCATGTACTTTGGTGGCAGCAGAGGAAGGAAGACTCTGTTGGGCTTTATGATCTGTTGGGATGGATTTCTCATCCACTCTTATATGTAGGACTTTTTAGGGGACTGACTTCTCTTGCAAAAGTGACCTGGAATGACCTAGATTGAGACTCCTCAGAGGTATGATGTTCATAGACTTTGTGCTAATTCTCTGTTGAATTTTGCTGTTGAAGTGAATGTCCATGAATGGGATCTGAGAGACCCCCTAATCATTCCTACTTGGGCCTGGTCTTTTTCTTTTTCTTTTTCTTTTCTTTTCTTTTTTTTTTTTTTTTGAGGTGGGGTATTAGGGATTTAACAGAGGGGTGCTTCACCACTGAGCTATATCCCCAGCCCGTTTTAAAATTTTTAATTCTGAGGCACGATGTCACTAAATTGCTTAGGACCTCACCAATTTGCTGAGACTGGCTCATACTTGCAATCCTCCTGCCACAGCTTCCCAAGTCATGGGATTACAGGCATGCACCACTGTACCTGGCTTAATTTGAGGGATTTCATCTCTTCTGTTCTTTGTATTAAAGAATCACTGAGGTTTGAGTGTGATTAATCTGTGTGAATCAAGATAAGTATTCTCTTGGCTGGATTTAGGTCAGCAGCAGAGTCTCTACCCTGTGAACTTGTGTTCCTGTAGACTCTGAGCACTGCTCAGTAAAGGGGAAACACAATAATAACAACTGGAGCAAACAATACGCAGCATTAAAATAAATATCCAGTGCCTCCTACGATATCTACAACACTAGTTACCACAAAAACAGGAAAAGCGAGGTCAACCATTGCCAATAGAAACGAAAACCATGAGTTAAAGTAAACAGTAGGTGTCAACTGTGCCATCCACAGTACTAATAAGTACTAGTAAGTGCAACAACATGAATGATGGGGGCAGGAGCTATGAAAAGCAAATCTAAAAGATGGTGAAAATACAGTTCATTAAGAGAAAGGAAAATGTGATAAGAAAGTTTAGAATGTTTACAATGTGAACCAGAAAAAATGCAGAACAGATATAGCAAGTGATGATTATAAAGAAGGAGGAGGAGAAAAAATAGAAAAGACAAAGTAAATGGGGGGAGAGAGCGAGAGCAAGAGAGTTTGACTGTCAACAGGAGAAGAAAGGATAAATTGAGAGAAACAAGAGAAAATAAACTAAAATCCCAACCCTCAAAAGACAAGGAAAAATAATCATTGTAAAAATTGCCAAAAATGAAAAAAGAGACAAATATGTATATATGTATATATGTGTGTGTGTATATTTATATATCAACAACACAATATGAACAAAAAAAGGTAAAAAAGATTCTTCATGAAATAATTTTATCTAGTGAGATGGTCAAAACCAGGGTTAAGGATGAATGGTCACTGCCTTCTTTCCATTTCTTCTTGGGTTAGAGAGAGAGAGAGAGAGAGAGAGAGAGAGAGAGAGAGAGAGAGAGAAACGCAAGAGAGCATGCTGGAGCTTGTTAACCTCTTCCTCTTCAAGGTACCAGTTGGAGTGGCCAAAACAAACTGGTTGAAATAGCTCAGATTTTCTTCTTACCTGTATAAGGTAGGATGAAATGGAAAACACTATCAATTGGAGTTTTGTCCCCAAAGACCAGACTGAGGTACTCCCAGGGTGGGGCTACTACAGAGTTCCAAAAGGGAAGTTCCAGTGTAGCTGTGGCTTAGACCTTATCAGCCTCTAGGGAATTTGTTGGGTGGTATCTGCTCTGAATAGATTAGATCAACACACCCCGTAGGGTCCAGATAGATGTTGACCTGTGCTAGGAGTCTCTATCTCAGGAGGCTCCCAAGAATTCTACTCATGGGGGAAGGGAACCACCCCTCCATAGGTCTCATACACTCTGCTGTCCAAGAATGTGGCCTTCTCAAGAATAGTCCCCAAGTGCATTCACACCTGCCTATTCAGTTTCCTGATCCTCTTCAGCTGGCCAGGTGGACGGCCAGACTCAAAGAAGTTGCACACCCCTCCATAGTTCTGACTTTAACCCCCACTGGGTACAATCTTCTCTGTGCCTGTTTCACTCACATTCTGCTAGGCACATCCTAGGCCACACAACAGGCACTTTCAGGGACAGGATGGCTATGTTTGCTATAATCTTCCGGCTCCCACAGCAGCAAGCTCCTCAAGATGGCCTATGCCCCCGCTCTCTGCCTGCCAATTGAGAAATAGCATTTTTCAAACACTAGCTTACTGTGCAGTTTCTGGATCAACTAAGTTCAGGTTGCTTTTCTAATCTATAGGTTTTTCTGTGCCAGATTTATCCATTGTGTTTCTCTCTGTTGATATTATCCCTCCCCTCTGCCATGAACCAGTGCCACTCCCACTGCCACAATCCACTTAGCTCCAATGTGTTCTTTGTTGTTCTTTGTTCAATGAACCCAACTTTCTGAATCTCTAAGAGATTCTGAGTATCTGATATTGAATATAAGTGAATTCCCTCTTTTACCAACCTCACTGAGAAGCAGTACTCTGGCAGCTTGGATCCAATTCATGGAGCAACTAGAAACACAGGCTTCCTGTATTCTACCATCTTCCCAAATCATCCATTTCAAGTCAATTTTTGCACATGGTGCAAGAAAAGTATCCAATTTCATTCTTTTACATAGCTTTCCCACCATGGTTTATTGAAGATATCCTTTTGCTATTGATATTCCCGGTGGGTGCACTTGTCAAAGTTTAGTTGGTTGTGTATGAATGGGTTTATTTCTGGGCTCCTAACTGATTCTGTTCCATTGGTCTATATGTCTTTCAATTACTATAATTTGAAATTTTAGAAAAGTAAGAGTGTATAATGCTTTCAGTTTTGTTCTTGCTCAAGATGGGCTTGGCAAGAATCACTGTGGGAACTATAGAAATATTAGCAACATAATTCTCCCAATCCATGGACACAGAATATCTTTCAATTACTTGTGTCTCCTTCCATCTCATTAATCAAAACTTTGCAAAATATATAGTGTTTAGTGTATAACTCTTTCACCTCCTTGGTTAAATTCATTCTAAGTCTTTTATTATTTTTTGATGCTATTGTAAACTGGATTGTTTTCTTAATTTCTTGTTCAGAAATTAATTCATTAATAATTATTGATCTGTTCAAATTTTCTATTTCTTTATGATTTAATCTTGTTTATTACAACTTGTTTCTTATAATTTCTCCATTTTGTCTAGGTTATTCAACTTGGTGTTTAATCATACATAGGAGTCTTTTATGATCCTTTGTATTTCTATGGTATCAGTTATAACAACTTCTTGTTCATTTATAATTTATTTAAGTCCTCTCCCTCTCTCTTATTATTGTGTAGTCTAACTAAAGTGTTGTTAATTTCATTCAAAAAAACCAACTCAGTTTCACTGATGTTTTCTAGTTTCTTTGTAGACTTTATTATTCTTACTCTAAGATTTGTTATTTCCTTTCTTTTGCTAACTTCTGACTTACTTTGTTCTTCTTTTCCAGTTCCTTAAGGTTTAAACTTAGGTTTGTTTAAGATATTTTTTTTATTCATGTAGGTGTTTACTGCTATAAACTTTGTCTATAAGAACTGCTTTTGCCAAATCCTGAGAGTAAGGTCTGGTATGCTATATTTTGTGAGAAACATGCTCACCTGTCCAAACCCAAAGAATGGACTTAGAGACATGAAGTATAGCAAAAGTGGAGCTCTTTATTGATGGTCTTGCAAGACTGGGTGTTTGGGTGAACGGACACCCAGAGCTGTTATAATCAGCATTTTATTCCCTAGTATGCACAGCCCTTCCCTTGGTTCCTCATTGACTGAGTACCATGGGGGTATATTGCCTAGGTTTTACTATGTCCTATTGGCTTATTTAAAGAAATATACCTTCAGTTGCTCCCACCTCCCTTGTGCTGGGAAGGCCTTCTTGGGTTGAGTGCATTTGGGCATACACTGCATTTTATCCTTATTGATTAAGTTGGTTCCTTCCCTCTTCCCTTCTATTCTCAAGGGGCTGTGAATTTTTCACATTCTGGTGTTACCTGCTTGTAACTTTCCACTCTGTTCTCCCCTTCTGCTGCTTTTCTTGAGTGTCAAGTAATTTTACATTTAAGGCAACATACTATACATTGAAAATGGACCAACAGACTTTCTGTTTTTCACATGTTTCTATTTTTGATTTATCTCAAAATACATTTTTTGGGGGGGGGCAGAGTACTAGGGATTGAACTAAGCTGCAATCCCAGCCCTCAAGATACATTTTATTTTGCCTTTCTACGTCTTCTTCTTTGGCCCATTTGTTGTTCAGAATTGTGTTCCTTAACTTCCACGTATTTGTGAATTTTCTAATTTTCCTCCTGTTTTCAATTCCTAGTTTCATACCATTGTGTTTGGAAAAGATACTTGATAGATTTCAATCTCTTTAAGTTTGTGAAGACTTCTTTTGTGGCCCAGTATATGATCTAGCCTGGAAAATATTCTGTGTGCACTTGGAAAGAGTGTCTATTCTACTACGATTGGATGGAATGTTCTGTATATGTCTAAAAGGTTCATTTGGTCTATAGTGTTATTCAAGTTCACTATTTCTTTGATGAGTTTCTGTCTGGATGACTTAGCCATTGTTGAAAGTGGGGCATGAAAGTATTCTACCATTATTGTATTCTCATCTCTACTCCCTTCAGTTTTGTTAACCTTTGCTCATGTGCTTAGGTGATCTGATGTTGGTGCATCATATTTACAACTGTTATATCCTCTGGATGAATTAACCCCTTTGTCATTATAGACTAACCTTCTTTGTCTATCATGATAAATTTTGAACAAAGGACAATTTTGTCTGAACTAAGTATCGCCATTCATGCTCTCTTTCAGTTAACATTTGCATGGAATATTTTCTTCTCTTTAGTCTTTGTCCTTAAGACTGTAATAAGTCTCATATGGGCAGCATATTATTG